TTTCTCTCTCAACGATGTTTCTAACTCTCTATCCCTCTCTCTTTCTCTCTGTGAAAAATCAATAAAATATATTTAATTTAAAAAAAAAAGAAAGAAAACATTGTCTACAAGCCTGTGGGGTCAGCCGGGAGTCATGTAAGTGGATCTTGTGGATGTACTCAAAGTGGTGTTAGGATTCGTGGGGAGGGTGAGGAAGGGAGCGGTGGGGGGGTTTCATGGCTGTAGGAATTAAACCATTTGTGCAGGAGAAAGTCAGTACGTAACACCTAAGTCTGAAAAACGAAGAAGTATTAGTTGTTAAACAAGTTACTGTACTTAGAAGCATGAGATGAATACCAGTAAGTGTTGAAAGCAGTTGCTTCTGGGAGCAAAATCCGAAGCGAAGGTGGGGAACAGGATTCCTGTTTTATAGTATGATTTGGCTTTTTAAGCTGTGTGTGCATTTTATAACTTTAATTTTTTTTTTGAATAAGCGTGACACTGAGTTGACAAAGTGAATGTTTACTATAGATGGTAAATCTTACTAGTCTAATAAATACCTTTATAATCGTAACACTACGATCATGTAGTTTAGTTTTCTATTCCTATGCATATGATTTCGAACAGGGGTGGGCAACCTTTTTGTGAGTGCGTGTCAAAACCAGCGAAATCTCTGACTCAAAATTCTTCTGCGTGCCAACCCTAATTTTTTGAGAACATGTTACGCCTACTTGATATCTCTTAAGGTGGACGTATGTGAAGAACCTTGAAGAAATAATAAAATTCATTCGAGCGACAAAAACACAGTCTATGATGATGAAAAATACATTTATTTTTTAATGTATACATGTACACTGATGGTCCGACAGAAAACTTTATGACTCCGTTTGATATTATCAGTGGGACTTTTGCTGCTGCATCACTGATGACAGCGATTGTACATCAGGTTTGTATTTCGTGACCTTCAGAGATATGCACGAGCTACTACTTTCATCCATCAGGCTACTCCTATTACGAGACTTAACAAAATTCATCACTGAGAACAAAGATTCACCATTGTAAATGGAAGATTATAAGAGAGGGTTTCGTGTGCCAGCAAAAGTTACTGGCGTGCCAGGGGTTGCCCACCCCTGATTTTGAATATCCGTTTTTGATTCCTACTCATTAATATTTGGCGTCCTCGGCTGAGTGTGATGAAAAGACATATTCTGAGAAACGTGAGTCAGTCCTGTGTCAGTCTCCACGTAGAACTTCATTGAGCTCATGCCTATAAATAGCTCCCCAGTCACCCCGACTCTCTGAACGTTATAAAAGGGGGAGCAGTAACTCAGAGCAGACGCAGGGAGTCGGAGCCATGAAAGTGTACAGGTCCCAGTTCAGCCTCCAGAGGCAGGATGGACCGAAAGTTGACCGCCTGCTCTTGTAAGTATGGTCCCTTGTCCCTTGTCTCGGCAGCTTTCTAATACCAAAACGTAACTGTCTTGTTTATATTGATCCTTTTTCATTTGTATACAAATAGAGATGTGAAAGGCCCACATTACATATTGAAAGAAAACCACGTTTATTCGGTTTTATTTTCTGACAAATGTCAGTAATATCGGAGCGTTATTGAATGTTATCAACCCAGAACATTCTTCCTAGTCTGCCCTCCTCCTTCATTATGTCAAAATGTAAAGCGCTCTTTACTTCCCTAACATTCTTTGTGACAGGGAAGGCTGAAGGAAATGCAGTTTTAATTGTTGGTATTTATGTTTTGCTCGCTTTTTTTAAAAAAAAATCAGTCTTGGAGTCAACATACACGAAGTAGGTGTTTGAATACATGCGAAGGCTATTAATCTCATTGGCCAGGGCTCTGTACATGTCTTTCCATGTATGGACGCCTCTTTGGGGACTATTATGACATACGGACCAATCTTCTCAAGTTAGGGCACCCTTAATTGTCAATACCATCATTTAGTAATTCTTTGAAATTCACTTCACTCCTACCTGGCCTTCAGCTCTTGGTGTTAAAAGCATTGTATTGCTTAGAGAAGCAACCCTTCACGTATAGTAAGAAATGAGCTGTAGTCTTAGAATGCTGTATGGTTCAACTGTGAGCAGTGACCACATTATCATACATGCGAATAACACTGCGTATTGATTTAACCAGCAGAAATCAGCATTTTCCCCTCTCCTCTGGATTGGGGAAGAGGCTTGTGTCTGGCGAGGGAATTGGAGAAGGTGTCTTCTTATTAGAAAGCCAGTAGACCAGCGGTTCTCAACCTGTGGGTCGCGAACACTTTGGGGGTCGAATGACCCTTTCACAGGGGTCGCCTAAGACCATCGGAAAACACATATTCAATATATAATTACATATTGTTTTTGTGATTTATCACGATGCTTTAATTATGTTCAATTTGTAACAATGAAAATACATCCTGCATATCAGATATTTACATGACGATTCATAACAGTAGCAACATTACAGTTATGAAGTAGCAACGAAAATAATTTTATGGTTGGGGGGCACCACAACATGAGGAACTGTATTAAAGGGTCGCGGCATTAGGAAGGTTGAGAACCACTGCAGTAGTTATTATCTAAAGTTAAAACATAAGAAACATCCGAAGAGCTGACAGTCATTGTCTCCGAGGTGTGGGAAATGGGTGGGAAGGCGGGAGCCCAGGATGCTGTGAAATAAATATAACATGTGTAAGATGAAGCTGATTTTTTATTTTTTTGGAGAGTTACCTTTTATAAGCAGGAATGTCGTTGAGGTCCAGGTGGGGACTTGGGGACATTTGATTTGCTCTTTGACGTACGTGTGTGGGAGGTAAGCAGCAAGCCGTGTGTTTTAGGGCCACACACAGTAGGCCTCTGTAGGTTTTTAATATAAGAAGAGTAGTAAGGATGGATGCACTTTACTAGTTACTAAATAAGGTCTATATCAGACACCAAAGCATCAAGATCCTGGTACCCACACTAGACAAACACACCTATGAACCAAAACACGCTGAAAGTTCAGAAATAGTCAACATAGAAAGGTGGCATCTTAAATCAGGGCTCGCCACTGTTCAGTAAGTGGTGTATGGGGTAGAGCCCCACTTCACATCTCAAACCCAAGATGAATTTCAGATGAACTAAGGGCTTCATTGTGGAAGTAGTAAAAGAAAGTGCTGGTGCGAAAGGGAACGCCTAAGAAGGGTCCCCAGGGCAGGTCACGGAAAGGCCTAATACGACTGGATTTTCTCCATGAAAATTAAAAGCCCTAGGACAAAACGAAGCTTGTATCTTTTCACCCAGCAAATGCGTGTCAGTAGGGATGCTTAAGATGCAGGTGGAAAAGGCTTCAAAGGGGAATGATGATAAAACCTTTATTGCAGTTGGTAGTAACGGTATCAGGCTAACCCAGTGGTCGGCAAACTCGTTAGTCAACAGAGCCAAATACCAACAGTACAACGATTGAAATTTCTTTTGAGAGCCAAATTTTTTAAACTGAAACTATATACGTAGGTACATTGTTATTAACTTAATTAGGGTACTCCGAAGGCTTAGGAAGAGCCACACTCAAGGGGCCAAAGAGCCGCGTGTGGCTCGCGAGCCGCAGTTTGCCGACCACGGGGCTAACCTATCCTACTATAGGCTGCTTAAATTATGGTCAGGTAAACAGTGGGATACTACACAGTCACAAAAAATACAGATGCAAAACTGTACTTAGTGCCTTAGGATACCTTTTACAATATATCAAAGGGGAGAGAGGAAAACATTTCAGAATGGTAGGTCAGTATTCCATTTTATTTGCTTTTTTAAAGTTTATCGTTTTATATAAGGAAGAGTCTGGAAGGATGAATGCCAAAATGTTAATTATAGTTCCCTCTGGATCTGAGACTTCAGATAACTTAAACTTTTTTTCTTCTTACTTCACTATGGGGCTTCCCCCCTCCTCTTTTTTTTTCACTGAGGAAACTTTCATCGAGCTATCCTTAAGACCGGCCATTGCATTTTCTGAAATTTTGTTTTACTTGTGCAGTGAAGATTTTGTGTCATGCTTTAGGGAAGGAAATTAAAATCCAGAAATTTTTTTTCTCTTTGAGGGATTAAAATAACTCCTTGGTGATGAAAGTGGATGCGTTATTTGGAAAATACATTGATCTGCAACACTTTGTTCATGACAAGTACAGAATAAAGTGAGATATTAGCATAACGTGCTGAAGCGGTCAGCCATGAGTGATCCTACCAAGAGAAATTGTTTTCATTTATATGAGACTGATAGGTCACCTCTATCCAAAGGGGCCCCTATCAGGTGGGGGGGGGGTATTGATTGCACGCACTCCATCACTTTGTATTTGAATCAGAAATGAGGTGCACACAGGTTCATTGCAAAAGAAACAGGTTTTGTTTTGTTTTTTTAAAAATATATTTTATTGATTTTTTTACAGAGAGGAAGGGAGAGGGCTAGAGAGTTAGAAACATCGATGAGAGAGAAACATCGATCAGCTGCCTCCTGCACACCCCCTACTGGGGATGTGCCCGCAACCAAGGTACATGCCCTTGACCGGAATCGAACCTGGGACCTTCAGTCTGCAGGCCGACGCTCTATCCACTGAGCCAAACCGGTTAGGGCAAGAAACAGGTTTTTCATGAGTCGCCATGATGCCTGTTATAATTTTTTTTTTTTTTAATTTCAGGCAACTTCAAGAGCAGCAGCGGCAGAAGGAGCTGGAGCGGGAAAGGCTGGAGAGAGAAAGGATGGAGAGGGAGCGGCTGGAGAGGGAGAGGTCCGAGAGGGAGAGGCTGGAGAGAGAGCGCCAGGAGCAGGAGCAGCTGGAGAGAGAGAGACAGGAACGCGAGCGCGAGCGGCAGGACCGCCTGGAGCGGGAGAGGCAGGAGCGGGAGCGGCTGGAGAGACTGGACCGCGAGAGACAAGAGCGGGAGCGCCAGGAGCAGCTGGAAAGGGAACAGCTGGAATGGGAACGCGAGCGGAGAATACCAGCCACTGGTAAGACGTGGACACGCTGCTCCTTGTTCTTGGTATCTGAGCTTGGACGATGGGAGATCTTTGGTGCAAATGGAGTATTTGATGCTTGAGATGCCCGGGATGAAGCCATATGATGGGGAATTAGGAAACACGCACAGTTGCTACTTGCACATTTTCTTTTTATTCCTCTCTGTTGCTTTTTTGCTTGGCGACGTAAAGAAAGCTCTTGGGAGTTTGTACTCTGGCATTCTTCTTCTTCCAACTCCCTCTACGTTGGCTCTAAAGTAGAAGTGTTTTTTATGAACTTTTTTTGATAGTGGAGGGACTTGGGCTTGTAGTTCCCTCTCGAGGTTGCTTTAAATGGTCTCGAACGCCTTAGGACGATAGTGCCGTTCGGCAAGATTATATTCCTAAAGGCTCCGGAGGAGGAATTTAAAAGCGGTAGGCGAAAAACAGTCCTCTCTCAAACGGGCTAGTTATTTCAGAATATTTTTTTTTTTTGAATGCTGTGGAAATGACTAAAGGATGGCATTCGTTGAAAGACCCACCGGTGAAGATAGGACTGAAAGGTTGAGGCCTGGTTCCATTCATGAAAATGAACATTTATTGTGGGATTTAATAATTCGTTTTTATTCCGCATGGCCTCTAGGGGAAGTCGCAGGGTGGGTTGGAGAAAATACGGGTTTGTTGTTTGAGTTCATTATCTGCCTTCACCTGCCCAATTATTTTCTGGGGTGATAGATAGCCGATGGAACAAAACTTTCCCACAAATAAGCATTGGTTAGGGGGGTTCCCAGCCCTTTACAATAAACATTGGCCAGTTTGGCTGTTTGGTGTTTAAAAAGAAACAAAACAAAAAAACAGTTGAACTTACTGATCTGTTTGTGGTCCTTCATCGTATAATCTTAATGTGCTTTTGGAGGACCAAGGAAGGAAAATGAAGAAGGCAGGTGCTGTGTTTCCCTTGTAAAGGGTAGGCTAGCCCGTTCATCGGTCTACTCATTCGATGGAAAGGACATGTGATTCATCCTCTTCTGGGTGTCAGGATGCCCTTATGAGCGAGAGCATTCTGGGGCGGGAGTCGCACGATGAAGAAGGCAGGTGCTGTGTTTCCCTTGTAAAGGGTGGGCTTACCCAGTTCATCGGTCTACTCATTCGACGGAAAGGACACGGGATTCATCCTCTTCTGGGTGTCAGGATGTGCGTACAAGCGAAAGTATTCTGGGGCGGGAGTCGCACACGGCCCCCCGATGCTCTGTACTAACTGTAGTCGACTTTGATACGCTGTGTCTGAGTGCTGGTGTTGTGGCTTTACTACCTCCCTTTTTCTCTCTCCTTTTTTTATCCTGTCTTTCGCCGCTGCTTTCCACCTCTGTCCAGCGCCACCTCCCGCCGGGGCCAGTGGCCAGCCTCCTCCGGCACCGCCTCCATCCCACGCCACAGGCATCTCAGCTCCAGTGCCAGAGGCCACTCCTGATTACGCTGGAGTGACCGCCCTGCCACCTGCCCCCACCCCC